TGTTAAAAGTGGTATGACGTTGTATTACTCCGTTTTGAGGAAGTCCGCTCCAACTTGGCTCAAGCGTGTCAGTATGATCTGAAAAGGATTAGCGTCTCGAATTTCTTATAGAGTTATGATTGCAACATGGAAGCAAACATGATGGCATGGGCAAAGCAGTGCCATTTCTATCATAACCCACCCGCAGATAGGAACTACTGGGGACAAAACCTGTATATGGTGGGAGATAAATACTACAATTTCACTTGGCCGTCAATTGCAGAAACGGTAAGAATTTCGACTTGAGATGCGCCTTTCTCGAAAATGATGTCATACAATTGCAGGCTGTCATATCATGGTTCCAGGAGTTACAGGTTTTTGGTGTTCCAGAGGACAATATCGTAGTCTCGCCTAATGAACACAAAACTGGTCACTACATGCAGGTGACAGGAGGATATGCTGCTGCGGAATGAGTTTGTATTGGCAGTCTGTCATTGCAGGTGGTCTGGCAATGGACGTCCAAAATTGGCTGCGCGATTTCATATTGCACAAAAAACGAACCTTGGCCATGGACAATCGCAGGATGCAACTATAACCCTTCGTGAGCCAGGAAAAATATAGTAGCTAGCTTCTTTCTGAAAATCGAATTGCAGAGGTGATAATCCTGGATGGGTGGTCTACGAAATGGGAGATCCATGCACAACTGACGCCGAATGCAAATGCGCCGATTGCATTTGTAGCAAAGATGAGGCTCTTTGCATACCTCCAGAATACGTTCCTATTCCAGCAGCTCCCACTACAACGACAACGACTACTAAGAAACCAACCACAACGAAGCCCGCTGGAGTGCCTAATGGTATTTTGTAGTTTCACTAATGGCCTTAGTTTGGAGCTTTCATTTGCAAAAGATGGCTTCCCAGCTGGGTCGTGCCCTCACCTCAATAATGGAATGACGGATGAAGCTAGGAAGATGTTCGTCGACAAACACAATGAGTATCGGTGAGTTTCACAGAGCGAATAAGCTGTGAAAGTGTTACGAAAATTGGAAACTGTTTAGATCGCTCATTGCTCAAGGAAAAGCCAAGGGTAAACCTGGACAATTTGCTCCAAAAGCAGCTAGGATGTTGAAAGTGGTATGTTTTCTGTCATCTATTTCCACAGAGCTAAGCTCAGGGTTCGAAATTCATTAATCGCCTAGGGCTTTTCCACTTGATGAATATGACGATGGATGGAAAATGATGAGGAAAGCATTATACTATAATGTTTGTAATGACTTGTTGTAGAGTTATGATTGCGATGTTGAAGCAAATACAATGGAGTGGGCGAAGAGTTGCACGTTTGGATACAACGTTGCTGCTATAGTGAAGCGATGGGGGAACAACGTGAACATGTTGCCGAAAACTAATAACAAGACAGAAGCTGCAGCAATGGTTTGCATTTCTTTGACAATTGAATCTTTTTCGGAAAACGGTACCCATCTCATTCTAGAGCGTCGAAGCATGGTTCAGTGATCTGCAGAAGTACGGTGTTCCTGAGAAAAACGTTTTCACGATGGGCATTTACACGACTTTAAGCAAATACAGCCAGGTGGGAACAGAACCTTCAGCAGCGCAGCTATAATAATTAAAATTGTCGCTGCCGTTGTTCCAGTTGGCCTGGCAGTCGAGCAATAAAATTGGTTGCGCAGTTGTACCTTGTTGGAATTCATGGACGGTTGTGGCTTGCGAATACAACCCTGGGTAATATCAATCGGATGAAACAGAGGATCTTCTTTCCGTACAGCTTCACCTTAACAAACTTTTTCAGAGGTGATCTTCTCAACCAACAGATCTACGACGAAGGAGATCCTTGCACAAAGGACGCCGATTGTCAGTGCCCCGGCTGCATCTGCAGCAGAAATGAAGCACTTTGTATTGCTCCATAAAAGCCGTGGCAATAAATTTCCAACATAAATAAGTGTGGATACCTGAATCTATCGGAATGTGCATAGAACGCGACAATTCTTTTTGATTTTTTCGAACTATGGTTGTCCCTAACCTGTAATTCGATGCAGCTTCCGTTCATCCATTTCTCGTTTTGTTTCAAAAAGGATAATCAAATTGATGTAGAGAAAGTAGCGCACTCGCTGTTAGCGGGACAAGAGCGGCTTCAGTATAGCTCCAGTTTAATGGAATAGTTTATTTTTCCCTGGTTATGAAAAAAGCAAACGTGTAGAAAGTTGAAAGCATTAGGGATGAATGAGTTCGATTCCTCTAAACTTGGAGTTATGGCAGGAACCGTTCAGTGTGTCTGCATTATCATGTACAAGTGGTTTCAAAAGTGATGAGGCAGTGTTTTATTCTAGACTTTGGAGTGATGATTTTATGGTTCTCAATGGAACCAAATTTTTCACTGAATTTTCCTTGCTTCATATTATTCTACAATATGTAACCAGCTAGGTGTCTGTCGGTGTGTGTATACATATGTGTGTAAGTGACCGGTAATTCATAGCTTCTGTCACCTTGGACTTAGAGCATTCAAATTTGGTAGAGCTATAGGCAGCAGGAACAGAACATTATGGTTGGTGACAGGACCGAACTGGAAGCTTTCTCAGGGGCGGAGCTTTCACAAAAATTCTATTTTCGTGAAATTAGAAAGTCCGAATATGGTTGGAGATCAGGCGACAAGGTGGAAACACCTACGGTGATTGGCAGGACTGGACTCCTTCCACAGGGGTGGGGTGTACGCGAAAAAGCGATAGCCATTCTTAACTCAATTGTAATTTCTAAAGCCCTTTCTTCATGAACGGTAAATACAAGGGAAAAGACACATTTATGAATAATATAATGATGTCGTTCACACAGTAACCGTTCAACTTTTAAGAGCCAATGTAACAGAAAATGTGTATGCCTTGTAGAGGACCTTTGCTATAGTCAGCCGCATAGCTCAGTCAGAATTTTCCTCTTTCGAATAAATATACATAGATGGTTGAGCCATTCACCTAGTGCAACGTCTGCCAATCCTTTTAAGTGAAATCACCCGGAAATACGCCATAAAAACGGAGCAGACAGCACTGCCTACAAATCAGAATTTTCATTTCGCTGTCAAAAGTTATAGATGTGCTGATAAATTCGTGAGTTTTGCGAGGTGTTGATTGACGTCCCAGTTCTGATAGCGTAATCCGCTACGGCACGACGAGAGAACGCGCAACCTTCACCGATTGATTCCCTTCATACCTGAATTGCCACCAGCTGACATCCACATTATGTATTTCGTGGGTGCCCTTTTTGGAGTAGTATCCTTAGTATATGCTGCTCCACGGCCTGAGCAAGTGCACATCGCCTTCCATGGCGACCTCACCATGATGGCAGTACATTGGACTACTTTTGAATACGGTAGGGTTTTTTGTCGTCTCTCTTCAGTGGTATCACATTATTTGTAGTAAACTACTGCAAATAAATCATAGGTACTGTCGTATAGTATGAGTAAATGAGTCTACTTTTTAAAAGGGTGGTCCTAAAGCTTGTAACGACTCTGATGCTTTGACAGAGTCGACCATAACCACCTTCTCATAGTATTCCCATAAAGCTTTGACTTTTGTGTAGCAATAACGTGACCTATCCGGAGTCACGCAACTTTGTTACACTTGCTTTCGAAACTCCTTGCATTTTTAAGAGCATCAAAAAGTTGGAAAATTAAATGAGACTGGTCCTTCTCTTTGTCAGAAGCTAGCAATTCCTAGTTTTGTGGGTTAGCAGCTCCTTGGACCATTGATTACAAGACTCGTACATGGCTTACTATTATCTTTTCCTAATAGCGACTTTTGATGACCGTAATCTGAGTGCCTGAGATGTGGTAGTGAAGTAATTTGTATTGTCCCCCTACAGCCTAGAATCGGTGGGATACTGCTGTATGCGTATGTATGTGAAGCTTGTATCTTTTCTAGATAACGCTCAAGTAAAGTATGGCACATCACCTTCGAATCTACAATTCACGGCAACCGATGAAGGAGTGAAGAAGTGGACATCAGGAGCAAGTGAACGATATTCCCACAAAGCAATGATGAGGAATCTTCAGCCGTCGACCACTTATTGTACGTCAGTTTCATCTCATTTTTATTATTATTCCCTTTTTTTTTTGCTGCGCCCCATACTTTGTATTACGAGTTTTGTGGCAGATTCTGGAAATATGAAATGTTCTAGAAGACAGCAGAATGCCACAGAATAAAGCGAAATCCCTCAACTCGTTATCCCCACTTTTGACTTATGTAAGAGATCTGGAAAGCTCCCTAAGCTACAGTATCCATCATTTCTCATTCGAACAGAATAAATAACCTTGTGACAGAATAGAAGCCCAGTTATGCAACAAGTTACAAAATGAGAACCCCTCCTTCGAACTAGTCCTGTTTACTATAAAGAGATTACATTATTAAGCCATATGGTAGTCATGATGCATCTAATGTCGTGAAGAAATTCACTTAGAAAACAGCCTATTCATTTCCGAGATTGGTATAGTTGAAGTGACTTCGGAGAGCACGTGAAATGATTTTTTAAATGTATAGGGGCACATGAGTACAAGTAGGAGACTCGCTTTACTTGCGCCTTATTAGACCCTCCCTTTATCCTGAACAATTCTGAATAATATAGGGCTTCCCAGTTAGGAAAGAATCTCAATTCTTCCAATAAGGGCATTATCAATATTTACATTTCAGATTATCAAATTGGAACGCGACAGTTTTCGTTCAAGACAATGGCTGAAAATCCTCAGACTTATAAGGTATAAAGCAGCACACTTGCGAGCTAACGAAGAGGCATCTGACATTCATATATAACTGTTTATACTTTGGAATATGATTCGAGTTTAGAATTTGAAAGGTTCGCATAAAGCCGAAGGCTTTTAGGTTTGCATATTTGGTGATCTTGGCTACTTCCATGGCAACTCTACTGAAAGCCTTTTGCGGAATGGTCTTGCTGGAAAATTCGATTTCATCGTTCATCTTGGCAAGTTTATTTGTTACTTAGATTGTTGATTGGCTGACGGCAATTCCATTGCTCCCAAAAATGGGCTGTGAGGCCTTCAGTTCTGTGACTCAAAAATTAGTCGTTGTTGAAATCGAAAACACTGAAAATCACCTGATAATGATGTCAAAGATTAGCAGGAAGTAGCATCTGGAACTACTGAAAAAGTGATAATTAGAAAGTCTCATTTGTAAACACCTTTTTCCCAGTATTTTCTNAACCAATAACTTTATTAATAGGTTCTTTTTGAATGACAGGTGACATAGCCTACGACCTGCATTCAAAGAATGGTTCCGTCGGTGATGATTACATGAATCAACTCGAACCACTGATTTCCAAGGTAATCGCAGTTATCATTTTTCATGGTGACATTCAAAAGGCGTGCACAACTGGGAGCACATATTGAAACCCCTGTGGACCTCAAAGAACAGAAACACACATTCATCCATCACTTTTTTCAATCATACATCATAACACCGAACTGTGCCCAGACACTGCATCGGTTTCCTTACCTCCCATGTCAATAAACTGAACTCGTCCTTTAGGGTTTCTCCTCTATACCTCCCTTCCCCAAATTACAAATCCGTAATTTAAGCTCAAGTCAACTAAAAAGTCGAATAAAAAATTGGCGAACGTGGGCATAAACACAGATTTTGACACTGTGCAGTGGATGATAGTAATAGATCGAGAAACAGAAGGAATGATCCGCCTGCGGAAAATGCTCATATTATAAGGATGCGCCAAGAACTATCAAAATCAAAAAGCTTGTGGCTTCACAGTTCTAAGCCAGCATCGTCTGACTGATCCATCGTACGGGTGTGTGTGAATATTGTTGAGTTATGCCTCATTTAAGGACCTTAGGGCAGACGAGGTCTTAGTGGTGTAAGGGATGAAGAGCAGGATGTCCGTCAAGCCCTGTACGGGTTCAAGACCGTCAGAAGCTGTGTTCCATCCTTGTGAGACATTGGCGTAAACTGCACCAAAAACAAGCGCCAACAAAAACAACAAGACGGAACAAAGATCTTTTGTCCTTTCCATGGAGACCAGTTTCAGTGACTGCATCGCATCCTAAACAAACCTACAAACTGACAAGATTGGTGTGGGGGGGGGGGGCAAAACTCCGGCCTTAGACGGGACTCGAACCCGTACTTGTGCTTCCGGGCAACGTGCTCCTCGAGTAAGAGCACGGTGCTAGGATAGCCCACAAAACATCAAGTCAATACAATCATATATATGCTGGCTAGCCTTTCATTATGATACAATTCTGAGCCGATTTCTTTTAAGGTGCCCTACATGGTGGTAGCAGGAAATCATGAAGACGATGGGAAGAACTTCACCGATTATCAGGAACGATTTTGGATGCCTGACAATGGCTACGGTGACAGCCAGTTTTACAGGTAGACTGATTACTGCTCATTCCAACAGGTTGGTCTCAGAAATGTTCTCCACCACACCAGTCCCATCCTCTGATAAATTGATACTTTGAACTTCGACACTAAAGAACGTACCAGTTTTCCATCGAAGTTATTCAATCTATGTGATTCCAAACAATTGAACCTTCTCCTGAAAGGTGGTCATTTGATTTGCGAATGATGAATGGGTTTATAACCCTTGCAATGGCAAGATTACGTCGCCCTATTCCCTAGAAACGTTCCAAATGCAAGGATCATTGCAAAATGAAGTGGGCATAACATCAGATTTTTTTGCGAAAGATTGAGGGGTCGTTGTGTCCTCAACAGCCTCTCATAGCAGGTTCTCAGATGAGAACTTTGGAAATCAGGCTCTAGCTTCTATCTGAATACTATACTTCTGGTCTACAGGCACAAAAAAGCTTAAGAAACCTCGAAGGAAGCTCATATCCATGAATATTCAGTGAAACAAGTTTTTGCAGTTTCGATATTGGCCCAATACATTGGGTAGGCATCAGCGCGGAATATTATGGATACTACTACGCATATGGTATGGGACCGGTCTTGAATCAGTACGAGTGGCTCAAAAACGATCTCAAGGTACTCGTTTATGGAATCTCACCAAAATTGTGAAGTGTAGGGCGGATTAAGGGCTCTGATTGGGCCCTGATTTGCTGGTCCCCTCTTGCTTCTTTGACCGTTTTGAAAAAATTGTGGTTACGATTCATTCGTCAAACCGAACCCACCTATTGGTTCTTTTCTTGCAGTAGTCGTAGTCAGAGCTTTTTAGTCCAGTAGTGAATGTAGGTAATAAGTTTGAATGAGACCATTGCAGTGCCATGTCAGTAAGCACATTATGCCGTCCATGCTGTTCATTAAAGTGGGTAGAATATATATGAAAACTTGCTTGCATATTCAGCTGGCAACTGCAAATCGTGCGACGACTCCCTGGATCCTTACCTTCCAACATCGACCGTTCTACTGCAGTAATATCAACTCAGCAGAATGTCAGGCATTCGAAAATCGACTGATGAGTTCATATTTATCGTAACGTTGAATACCTATGAAATATCCATATCTTGATAACTGAGGAGTTTTCTGTTATGTACAGATGCATATCCTGAGACTAAATTCCCAAAAAACAAGGTAAAGAAGTCCTGATGAGGGCTTTGTGATGGAAGGGCAAGTTGAGTACGATGTATGATAAGATTAAATTCTAGAAATGTTCAGTAATTCTTAGCAATGGAGCAGAAGTCTTATTTTATTTCTAATGGCCGGAATAAAAGGTTAAAGGATAAAGCCTCAGGACAGGACGTTGATCAAGCCCGGTTGGGGGATGCGCCTCGCATTCGACCTCCCTTCAGAATCGTAGTGGCGTAAGGAATGCGTAAGTGGCCTATTCAATGACCTGCGGTGGCCACCAACCCACTTGGATGGGTGTGTTCTGGGCGACGGTGCCAAGCCGTTGTACAAGTTAGCGCTTTTATCCTCGCAGACGAGTCTGGTAACAATTAGCCGACCCTGGAGATATGAAACCTTAGTTGGCTCAGGCCGATATCGATCCGGGGTTTGAACCCGTGACCATGCATTTATGAATGCGAAAAGTGTCACTACACCACCTCCGCTTAATGGCCAAAATATGCCTGACAATCATTTTTCAGAAAAGAAGTAGAGAATATTCTGTTTTGGCCTATGGCCTAACAGCCTCTGATAAGCTTAGCTAACAAAAATATATGCACTCTTCCGTTATCGACTGAGTATTGTTTGCCGATCGGTGTTCTCGGTGTCAAGAATGATACCGGGCAGGATGCAAGGGATGTTTCAATAAACACTCAATGAAACCATAGAATCCCAGCAAGGTACAGCTCAGAATGTTAGTACTCGTACAGCGACAGTGCCCCAATGCCTAAAAAACCGAAGGTAAAGAATAGTTTTCGAGAGAGAGCGGGAAAGTGAGGTTTTATCTCAACTATATCTTCATTAAACCTATACTGCAAAAAGAATTTCTGTGAAACTCATCTCATTGCGAGGTTTTGACTGGAAAGTTCGAGCAACGAGCTCCCTCTATACTAACTGCGATTTCTTCTGGTGATTTTTGTAAAACTAGAACATCGTCTTCACAGTTTCAGGCCATAATCGAATTTCAATTTCAGATTCGAACTGGCTGGTTGGACATGCCCGGATTGGAGCCACTATTCCTTCAATACGGAGTAGATATGGGCTTCTGGGGACACGAACATTCATACGAACGATTCTATCCGATAGCCGATAGACAATATTGGAATGAAGTCAGTCTTGTTCAGAAGTTCAGTAAGATTAATTTGAAATCCTTCCGTGCTCACATTGAGTCTGAAGGGCTCTGAAAGTTCGAGTTTTCCGACTCTGAAAAGGAAAAAAAATAAAGAAAACGGCAACTATCCTCTTTTTTTACAGTCTGATGCCTATGTCAATCCCAAGGCTCCAGTGTACGTCATCTCAGGGTCTGCTGTGAGTTTCTTACGGTCACTTTTGATTATTATGTGAATTCTGCGACCTTGACTGTGTTGATGGGAACCACTGAAATACTTCTTGGTTATAGTTGTTCGATAGTCGTGTTTGATGAAACGTTAGGTCACGGCTCATGTATCATTATTGGCATTTATCAGAAGTTCTGGCAGACAGCCTTACTGTTCCGAGATAGAGAGAAAAGGCTTCATGTAGAATGCCTGTGAAAAGTCCAACTAGCACGTCTCTTCACTATGATCCATGATTTTTAGATTTGTTCTGGCCTATTTCCTAAGGTGGTGTTGTTGGAAATTTCCAAAAAAATTTTAAAAAATTAAAAATTTTTTTGAAAAAAAAAATAAAAGAAAGTGGTGTGATAACCCTTCGTACCATTAATCCTAAAATTTTCAGCCTGATTTTATCGTGTAATATTAGCACTGTGTTTCTTTCAGGGCTGTCACTCGGCTCACGCGTGGTTCTCTGACTCCCCATGGCCGTTTAGTGCCTCTCGGTCTGTGATAACGCCGTTTTTTTCCAACGAGTATCCTCCAGTGAAACAACAATTTTCAGAAGCAATGACTACGGCTATGCGATCCTCACCGTGGCCAATGCCACTCACCTACATTTGGAACAGATTTCGATCGAGAAGGACGATACCCCTGTGGATGATTTTTGGATTGTCAAGACCAATGCAAACGTTCACTCACAAGCGATGAGGTAGGCGACTTCGGTCACTAAGGCAAGTACCGTTCAAGGAAATTTTGATGAATAGGTCAGGCAGGTTCCGTAGTCAACGTATCCTCCTAAATTCAAAAGCACAGTCTACGACAAAACGGTTTTGATATGCTCATAATATGTGGCATCTCCATACCATATGTGACACTGTCTAAGGCTTCGAAGTTTGTATCGGCTGTCTGCCACACCCAAAATCGGACGAGTTTTGGTGGTGTTATAGAGGTTGCACTATCAGAGAGACAGCCATGCTAGACTGGAAAGAAGCTAAAACTAATGTCTAAAACCCAGATTCGAAACCTGATCATTGAATATGAACAAATCCTTCACGACATTCATTCTATCCTTTTATGGGCTATGATACGTCTCTCGGCAACACAGCCATCTATTTATTGGTCATATATTTTTTTTCAGAGCACAATTTCCTGGATGGAAATTCCCGTCAACGAAATGCCATCCAAAAAATGTTGCGTGCAGAATGTCTTTGCAGCAGCTCAACGAGGAATTGTAGAAGGGTCCAGAGAAGTCTATGAGAATTCACCGCAGATCATCTTTCTCACTGTAGATAACATCGCTTCATTTAATGAAGTCTTGCTATTTTTCATTTTACAATTCAACGCAGATGCTTCTTAAACAGAGCCCCGTTGTGCTTTCGAGTGAGCACAACTCAATTTAGGTAGTGAAAAGGCATGCACGAATCGTCTCAAAGAATTGTCTAGATTTTTCATTGTTTGCAAATGTTCTACCAAGTTTCCCTCGTGAAGAAGCAAGTCATCTCGTCGTGATTATTTTGTCTTTTTCATAACAGCACCTATCGCTACCCGTAGCCCAGGTTGGAATGATCGTTGTGTAATGATGCCGGTATCGTGGAACCCTCTGTAATCGTCTCTGTCCCATGCTGCATATAGTGTTTCGTTTAATTATTATAAGGTGGTACCTACTTTTCCCTTACTCACACTTTAATGCCCAGAACTAGGCGAATGACATTGCTGTAGCTGTTATCCTCGGGCTCCCAAACACGCAAGATTCCCCAGGAGTCCAAGTGACAGTCGTGAACCAACGGGCAATAAAATTTGGAATTACGGGAGCTATTCTCTGTCCGGCGGGAAGCTCATTCGGTCCAGTATGTGAAGATGCGTCTACATAGTCCGATTAGAGACATTCTCTAGAGTAAGGAATGCCCACCCAGTGGTTGCTAGGTAAGGTAGGCACCTGTGCAGTATATGAATGAACCAAGTTTGGGTGGATGGCTGTTCTCCGACATCTCAAAATAGTACATATCGCACTCAGCAAGCTTCTAGCTACAATCGAGTCAAATTGTTACCGAAGGGTATTGTGAGGTCGCTGGTGAGGCTCCAATTTTCNTAAGGTAGGCACCTGTGCAGTATATGAATGAACCAAGTTTGGGTGGATGGTTGTTCTCCCACATCTCAAAATAGTATATATCGAACTCAGCAAGCTTCTAGCTACAATCGAGTCAAATTGTTACCGAAGGGTATTGTGAGGTCGCTGGTGAGGCTCCAATTTTCATTAAATTTATAAGCCTGAACTTTTCACTGCATAGAATTCATTCATAGCTAGGTATATCACCTGGCTCTGGACCGACAACTAACCTAGGGTGTACTAAGCTGATAAAGTCTGAATAGTCAATTACTTTTTCAGCAAAGTGCACTTTCATAGGGCAAGAAATCCACATCCATTGGTAACGGTCAAGGTGAGGCAAAATGTAAGGTTTGCAATCCGTGTCGCAGAGTCTCTCTAGTCGAGCAGTTGAAACTTTTTTTCTGGAAGTTTTCATTATCGCTGACATTTTTTTTTAATTTTTGAAGCGGAGCTCAGCTGCTTATGTTGATTGACAAGTCGCAGGATGCTGTGAGCTTCTTTTCTTTCGAAAATGATCGGATCATAACCTTCCAAACACGGTATATTTGTTGGTCACTGACACATCATTTTAAATCGATAGCTATGGTTTCGTGGTTTTTTTAAAGACCAAAAACAGTATGCCCTCTTACTACATAGTATATACATTACTATAATAGTAGCAGTATGCACGACTACAGTATGCACAACTTCCTGTGTTGGCTGTGCAATGGCTTCTCCCCCAAAGCCCTTGTGTCTGGGAACCCTTGAGCTCCACTAGTACCTTTCCTTCATCCTTGGAATACACAGTCCTTTTTTTCTAGATGAACTGGACTATGTAGAGTGGGGAAAAAGTGGAGACTCTGAAGGCAAGAGTATAATCCTTTCTATAGGCTTTCCACTTTCTTCTGCAGGAAAAAATTCAAGGATGAAGTACTCTTACCATGAAGAGTGCACTATAGACTAGCAGCTACTCTATATGGCTCTATGGGATACTTGAAGAATGTTTGAAGAATATGACGGCTGAGAGAATATGTAATCCATCGTGTGAAGCTTCATTTTTTCTCACCAAGAATGGTGCAGACTAAACTTCTCACTTGCTGCGGCTGTAGGATGGTAGCATCTCAGCCATTTTTCTAAGACACCATTGAGGACTACACCAAAGCCCAGCGAGGCAGCCTGGCTCTCCCCTGTGTTTCCGTATGTATGCACACGAGTACAATTCCTAATTATTATTAGTTACTACAAATATCGTCGCCAAGTGCCATTGTACTTGAGCAGTCTGAATTCGTCGGGCTCACCTGAGCCGTTCACTCATATACTGTCCCAGTTGAGATAGCGTCATCAGATGGCAACTAAACGAAGGAGTAAGTTTCTGCACTGTCCTAACAAGAATAAAGTAATAGCCAATTGTATAATAAAATATTAATAACTTACATTTGATACAAGATTGAGTGTGCATTAAGTAAAAAAAACCCTAGCGACCACGTTCAGCGCGGAATGGAGGTATCACTCGAGTATTACAATTCATTTTATAGCTCTGCACTATTATCGCACTCTTATAGACATATTACTTGACAAGGAAGTTTAAGTTTTTTTTTCTGCCAAGCTAGATTTCTTTTGCTTTCAATGTGTCAATGTGTATTGGTTCTGATAAATCGATTTTCACTTGCTCCAAACATCAAATTTATTTAAATCTAACGTCCGACGACGCTTTCGGTGGGTTGGTCGGTCGTCGGCCGAGGAAATGCACGTCATTGGACTCAGAAAACACCTTTTCTCGAAGAACCTATCTCCTTTCACGATTACTTTTTATTTGACAACAAGTCCTCGCACATACGACGCAGAAAAGGGATAATGGGCAACGACACGGAACGTGGGTGAAGTAAGTGAGGGACTGGCTGCTTCCATAGTCAGCGATTTGCTCGCGAGCGCGCAAGCGAGCGACGGGGGCTACTCGTCCGGCGGTATCAACCAAGATTCAGTTATGAACAAGGGTCAAACACCGCCGACGTCGCTCGCTCGCTCGCGGGCCAAATAGCGGACTATAAAAGCCGCCACTGTGTTGTTCACGTTTTCTATATTACAGGTTACTATAAGCACGGGATGGATTCCGTTTTCTTCATTTCCGGGTGATTTTCCCCACCTCTACCGCTTCTTGGCTACACAACGTCTCTGGTTTTCCCTAGAAGGAAATACGTACAATCCCACAGGCCACTCTGTCAAAGAGAAGTCACCGGAATTATTTTACATCGCGCACTGTAGATGAAGCGATTGAATGAATAAAACCCCCTTCCCAGGGCTTCTTATTACAAGGATGAATAGGCAGGGAAGGTTCAATTCGTTTTTCGAACAACTCATGGGGTAACGGAACTTCTCCCCTATCGCGGCATTCTNAATTAAAATGACTTCTCCTATGTAAGCGGCGATCAAGACTGCATTGAAATTGAAGAAAGCTGTCAGCCAATTCAAATAATTAAAGGACTCCCTACCTAACAAATTGCGCGCTCCAATCTTCCATCGCAATCCTGCGACACGCGGCGGGTGCGGCGTGTGCGACGCCGTGACAAGGGAGAAGTTCCCGGACTCCAACTCATGTTCCCCCAAAGCTGGCTAACGACTTCGCGTTTAACTGCGTAATCCTGGTAACTACTGATAAACTATGGCAAGCGTGCCATTCGAAAGCATATTAGTAGAGAAATGGCTTTGTCATAAACAGATTACGATTGAGCACAAAGATACAATCTGAAACCTCTATAGGGGTTCCTTCTAGAAGGCAACCGCCTTACGCCTCAGGAACTATTGCCATCATATGGCGTTTCAAAGAATATGCATGGTTCGAACCACACAAAAAGACAGCAAAACATGATTATTTGCTCTCACGCGATTATATTGCAACGTTCTAACGGTATACCACTCCCTTATAATTATCTTTCAAGCAATTAAATACAGAGTAAGATCATTGGGTGTTCAAATAGGACGTTGCGTGTTTTTATCCGTAGAACAGAGTCATTTACTCCCGCTCTAACCCAGGTTCCCTCTATGATACGAACAACAAGTTAGGGAACAAAATAAATCAAGTAATGAGGTTACCATTGACAAACCAGACCCAAAAGAAAAGTCTCGGCTTTATCTGGTGTTTTAGAAAAGGAGGAAATTGCAGAGGAGTCAAGTGACAGGAGTCAAGAGTATCACAGACGCCGAAGCTGCCAATGGCGATGGGCACATCTGGATAAAGCCCTTCAAACAGATGAATTTTTTGATACCTATACAGATTATGTGCAGGTTTTGTATCTCTAACTACTGTTCAAACCCTAGGAGTTCCTGTCCATTCGAATGTCTAGAGAAGACCTAACAGAATTTATGACCAGATTACCATGACGGAATTGGCTTTTCAGGGGTGTCGAAAGAGATCTCAGTCACTGTAGTCCTATAAAGTGCTGGTGCCTACAAAGCCGTTGAAATCCCCGTCGTTGGTTGTGTTGAACAGCCAATACAGTTGTTGAGCCCTTTTTGAGCCCTCTCTAGGCCGTTTCCAGATCTGACAACGCCACATACGGTAAACGAGGAGGGCTTCAGAGGGCCTCTTCATCCTTCCGGAATGTCTCAGAAACCACTTTCATCGTGAACTGTACCTTTAAGTGATGTAAGTGTCTATAAAAAGAGCCTCGTTACGGGTATTAAGAGCGAGTTCATTCAACTCTTAGGAACGGCGTACTTCGACGTCGTCGTCCACCTGCTCCGGCTCCCGTCAGAGGCTTTTCCTCGTAGACGCAGACATACACAGGCACACACACACGTTCTCCCACCACTGTCTTGGCAGTAATTGAAATCGATCCCACGACGGGGCTGGTGGCTACAATTTTAACATTCTTGTCAAACTGATATGCCAGGATTGATTAACCGCTAATAGAGTCATTGAAGGCGTTTCTCTTTGACTTTTGAAGGCTCTGAAAATCGTAGACCTGTTGTTTGAAGCTTTTGTGGCTGATTATTCATCGTTGGCAGATCGAACTTCACTCTAGAAGCCTTTTTGGAACTGCGCCAATTATTCGTCCAATTTTCCCACCTTTGTCGCTTTTTTTGAAATTTTGCAATTTACTGAAATATTCTTTTCAGTGGATTTTTACGGAAGGGCTGAGAAATTTCTCGTAATCCTGCTCCCCTATAAAATGGGGTGTGGGTCTTCTAGCCAAGTTGAAGATGTTGCACCTTCCACCAAACAAGAACAGGCTGCTGCTCCTGAAGCTGCTAATGAGCATAAGGAAGCCAGTGATGTGGTACGTTTTGGTCCAACTTAGTTTGGCCCAGTAGTTATATGAACTACCTTTCAGGATGTCCATCTTAATAGCCCACCACCGATTGAGGCTACCACTATGGATGAGGTGAACACACCTGCCTATACGCTGACTCGGTTGCTGTTACTAGGTGAGCTTGCGCCATGTATGCTATTTCGGGAGTATTTTCAATGGGGAGTGGGACCACGATCCTTCCAAGGACTTGGGAGAGGAGATCTTCGAAGCCCTCTGAGGAGCATGACTTACCAATGATTGTTTAGTCTCAAGTAACTTCAAATGTTTCTTGCTCGGTAAGAGAGTAGTCTGTAATTACGGTAAAGACCACGATAACTACCGTAACCACTGTGGCTTGCTGAAAAAGCAAATTCAGTTAGATCCGTCAATATCCTGCCGTCGCCTGGTACCAACCCTCGTTGTCGACTTCTTTCATTTAATTTGATAAGAAAGAAAAAACTCCAAAGTATCATTCATAGCACCTGCCTAGTGACTTGTAAAAATCTAATGAATGCGCTACAACGGCAAATCCTGAAGCTTCGGAAAAGTCTAGGAAAAGATTGAATATCTTTTTGTTGGGAACACGAACAGAAAGATATTTCAGACGCCAAAATAAGCCAATCAATCACAAACCCAGAATACAATCAAAATTCATGTTGAGGGCGAAACCACCCTCGGTTTCGGCAGGTACTTCACACCCAATTCAAGCGCGCCTCAAATCTGTTCCTTTTCTCTGCAAAATTACCCTAATTCCTGTTAAATAGAAAAAAACTACAAGCAGGTTTTGCTGACTGTTTTCTTTCATCAACTTGGAGCCTTTCTTTTTTTAAGTGTCGTCCTCATTGCTGTAACTAGGCTCACCATTGCCTCTATTCGTTTCTTGTATGCTGTCAACTCAAGAAGCGTCCACCAAAAACTCTTGATGACCTAAGTCACTGTTTGAAATTCTACGATGTTTTCTTGGAACTTTTTCCCTTCGTTATATTAAGAATGGAAAAAATCGGTTGCCCTTGTTTCTCCTCTCTCTCTGGTAATTTTCTGTTTCCATGGAGCTGCAACTACAAATGGTTTTTTTATTGCCCACATGTGATACCTAAGGTAAAAATTCAACGAGATACTGGTTAACTAAACGGATTGACGTTGAATATGACGTCAACCCCCTGTAATTCAGATGGGAATAGAGCAGGTGAAAGTTACATGGTGTCTCGTATATCTACCACCTTTTTAGTCGTGACTTTTCCCGGAATGGTATGAAGCGATAAGTGCAGTGACAAACACCGTTTGAAATCAGTACCATGTGAAGAGAACGGAGTTTGATTCACTCCTTGCTGTTGGATTGCACTTCAAGGTCCAAGGATAATGGACAATGTTCCCTTTATTTCGTCTCATTACCAAAAAACCTGCTCGAACATCGAGTATGAGAATCACGGCGAATGATTTTATACATTCACGATTCACGATCAATGAAGGAAAGAAAAGAAATCTCAACAAAGGGTCATGGTTGAAGGCACGGTTCATGATAAAAATGGTTTGCGTCCCGTGCCTTTGCGCGGACGAGTTTCAACATCATTGTAGAGGCAGCACCATCCACAAGGGAACAACTTGTTATGGCCCAGAACGGCAGTGAAAGACAACTCTGGACAATTATGTTTGGTGTAGTCAACTTTTCATGCAATTGCAATAGCTCTGAAATTTCGTCCAAATACCCCTTCCCCGCCATTTCCATTTGGATAATCTCGTACAAGCTCTATTTCCATCACATTTGAAGAGACTTATTTTGTTACCCACTTCACCACTGTTGCACTATTCCCAACCAATACTTTCGCTTTTCGGAGCAGAATCCAATCCATTTCTTTAGAAAAATCTGGTTCTCCCCTACTCCGGAATCATTATGGGGCTCTTTCGTTCGTGATTCATTCTTTATAATTCACCTGTCATTAATTGAATACTTTTCGAATAGTAAATTGTTCTAAGAGTTCTAATGTCTGGAAACAATCGCTTTTTACATCCTTCTTTTAATTGCCCAATTACAAGGTGGTCTCCATGAAGGAAAGGCGCACGAGGTTTAAGTCGTGCGCTCATTGACCTATGCGATGAAGAAAATTCAAAAAATTACCCAAGGCCCAAGGTCGACTTCACACAACTTTCGTTGTTTGTTTTCGTTTATCAAGTCCAGTAATAAAACTATTCTGCTTTCTTCAAAAGAACGGTTATTGGCTCACTACAAAGTGAAACATTTACAAAACACATGTTTTCTCACTTGCCATTTTCTTTCACTTGGATTTTTCTTCACAGTACCTCACTTATAATCTTCGGGTACTGTTCCCTAATCTATGTAAGCGGTTCCCATTTTGCACTGTAGGAGTATGGTCCAGGTGGATAACAAATCAATTCGTAACCAGTTTACACCTGCTTCTGAAGTTATCCTTTACGACCACCTCGGTAGTATCGAAAGGCATCAACAAGAGAATTGTAATCTCAAAAAGGTGGATCTAGTCAACAGATTACTTCTTCACAAAAAGGCTAGGTGATTATCCAACTCCTTGTCTTTCAGGTGAAACCATTACCATCAATTCCACCATAGAAGGGTTTAACGAAAAGTTGAAAAGGCATTATGGGATGAGCATATAGGTGGGAAGTCACAATTGCTCATTTGTTGGATATTACCTTTGCCAATCCCAGTCGACATAGTGAATGGAAAGAACCTCCTGGGCGTTCGAGACATCTGTCAACTATTATTTTATTTTATTTTATTTTAAATGCACTCAGGGTGCACCCTATTACACACACAACAGAAAAAATTACTACATATTATTGTTATTACAAAATTACATTCCACCCNACCACGAGCAAATCGTATGCCCCACTGACAACTGCGACGTCTGTCAAGTATCGCGGGCGGAGCCGCAGCATGCGACGGCTGCGGCGTGACCTAGTTTCGATGGACGCGCGCAACGAAGCGCACCCCACCCCATTCCACCCATAAGCTCATCACTTACCTTTCCTTTCAAGTATATGCATTGTCAATATTTGGCACGGTAGCCTGGTTAACATCAGGAGTCCCCTGTAGTTCCGTTGATTGAACAACTAAAGCATTCCTTTTCATAAAAAGAGTGACTGGGATGTAAATGCGGAAAATATGGCAGCTTCGGACCTTTAACTGAAAAGTAAGGATTTGTATTCCCCTGTTCACTATCCGCTTATACTTCACTCTCTTCTTGAAAGGATAGTTCATGATGGAAGTGGTCCTCAAGATCCCTCTAAGGATGAATTTGTGGCGTCCAAGGACACCAAAAGGGACGTTGTTCATTGAAAAACGGCCTAGATAAGGCGTAGTAGGGGCCCCAGAACCGCGTTAGCCGACGTACCACTCGAAAATGAGCTCTCACGGCATCATAGAGGCTATAAAGCTTGCAACATGCTGCTGGCACGCATAAGTTGCATGCAGACTACTCACTGTAGACAGCTGTCAGTGGCGCACTTATTTGGACAGCTCGTCCAAATCCCACTTCCATGCAGTTTTTTTCGTCACATTCTCGTCCAACCTCTGATTTTACTTTTTTTCTGAGCCTAGTACCTCTCTGAATAGTTGACTTTCACGTTTCATTCATCACTTTTGCTTTACTTATTTATTCAAATGCACCTCAGGGGTGTGCCCCTTAATCACACACCTATTGCGGACTACCGCTTCCACTACTTGTCTGAAACTAGATACTGTGAAACTATCGTAACTGTGACTTCAGACTCTCAGATGTGACGCGACAGTAAAGGCAAGGAATGGTAAACTACAAACAAGGTAAACAAGTCTGAAATCTCAGCGGTCAAAGTAATTTTTATGTGAGAGCAGCTTCCCAGAGGAAGATTTGTTTTTCTTTTTCTTACGTGGTTTTGTTCTCTTCTATATTGATATTAATCCCGCCACAATGTACCGCTTGCCGCTGGGATTTCTAGCCGTAGACGGAAACCGGCTAAATGCTATACTGTCGTAGCTAGCTTTCCCTCTTAAAGACTGTCACTCGTAACCCAACCTTTTACTTCGAACTACTCTATCAAAATACTCATTGACTTACTGAAATGTTCAATGCAACCTCTGCCTTCATTTCAAAAGTCATGGTATATATTCTGCCATCTTGCAATGTGTTCCCGAAGGTCTACTTTGTGTACTTGTTTTTTCACTGAATCCAACGACAGAAATTTCTTCGGGGTGGTAGGTAAGCGCAATCCATCTCAGGGGTTTTTCAATGCCAGCGCACAAATAAAAGTTATTTTCGGTTCCCAATGTTTATTCTACAAGTAAGGAGAAGACGGTGTAGTGGCTCACTATCAATATCCGCCTAGACCAGCAAAGCTTCCCATCCCTCCCGGGTACGAAACGCATCTGGGAGGCGGAAATCACTGCTTTGTACATCGACTGTCCAGCTCAATACATAGACCCCATAAGCACACGAGAGTCGCTTAAATTCTGAATGAGAGTCGAATGCGGGGACGCACTCCGAAAATGGGCTTGATTGACGTCAAAATGCTGTAACCATTTATACTACAAACAGTTATGTTGCTCAAGTTGAAGCCATCAAATCAAAAACGACTTTATAGGAGCAGCCGAATCCGGTAAAACGACATTGTTGGAGCAAATTCGTCTTCTATACAAGCACAACTACACAGAAATGGAATTTGTGCATCGGAAATCATTTATATATAACAATATATTGACATCGATACGAAAGCTAATCATTCGGATGCAAGATACTGAAACTCCCTTCGAAAATCCGGATAATATAGTGAGTTTTATATGTTCTTAGAATTCCATACATGCCCTGGGGTTGCTCATATGTGGAATTAGGGTGCTGGTACTACCAGTTACACTCGAAAGTTTTGTACGGTAAGTACTTTCACGTTCGTAGGACCTCTAGCTTTTTAACCTTCTGAAGAGGTTGGGTAGAGGGTTAGACATGCAAAATGATCTGATTTATCAACGGCAACTCTATATTGACTCTGAGTAGCGATTTTCTGATAAACAAGAAGATTATAGTGGAAGGAGCTGAGTTCTTAGTCATAATTGTCCTCTGCTCTTCTCTTGGACATTCCTCCTACCACATCCATCGAAGATCCACTCGAGGCTCATGAAGACTTGTTACCTGTCCCAATGTAACCTTCAAAACTTTCAAAGTTTTTCATGAGTTTTTGGCCTCCATCAATACTTCTTGATAAGTATCGATAGAGGTCAAAGTAGTTCTGAGTAGAAGCTTTAAAAACCCATCACGTTTTCAAGGTAGCTTTGTTCAAGTAGAACAAGTAAGTAATAGGAATTTAATATTAGAAGTCCTCAGTCAATTGGTATTCCACCTTTTAGGCCATACCTTCCGTATCTGAAATAAACTTCTCTCATAGGTCATTCAGTAGTAACAAGAATGACAATCATTTCAGCAATATGCCGATAGAATCATGAACGAAGAGGACACCCAATATGCATGCTTCACTGCGGAAGTTTATGAGGCTATTCAACAGGTCTGGCATGATCAAGCTGTTCAGAAGATCTACGAAAGGAGGAGTGAAATAAATCTCAATGACAGCTCTAAATAGTAAGTCTTAAAGTAACAAAGGTGAGCTACAGCTACAGACAAAAAAACTGATGCCGTTGGTTTAGTTTTTTGGAAAATCTTGCCTCAATAAACAAGCTCGACTACACTCCAACACCTCGCGATCTGATTATGAGCTATGTGCCTACGGTCGGAGTTCAAAACGTTATATTCTCAGCGGACGACCATGTGTTCCAGTGAGTATAGCTATTTTCTTAGAAGCCTACCTTCACTACAGTACTCTGTCTTGTACAAAATGTTCGTCAGGCTTGATTACTTGTACACAAGTTCATTAAAAAATACCTATTTGTAAAAATACAGGAGCGCTAGGTATCATCGCCTTACGCACTATCCAGGAACCTAAATTGAGCCAGAGTTCAGATTGGTGAAGTCTTTCTCCTCTTCTAGGGCTTGTCTGGAAGAGAAATAGTCTTTGCCTGCCCCCCCCCCCCTTCAGTAATCTTATAAAACCACCGTGCCTTCTGATGGAAGGCATCAATGGTTACAGATCATCATACTTGAAATCTCCTCAGCCAGTTTTCGTGACATCTCTTTCTTTATATGGCCGCATTTGAGTAATAGAGTACGTTCCTACGAAAAAAGAACTGCTCGAACGTAGGAGAAATATCTCGCGTATAAACTTTTACTTTGATTTTTTCTTTTTAATTTCAGCTTTAATTCCAATTCCATTTTTTGTATTTCAACCCCTTCAATTTCCTCAACGCTTAAAAAGCACAAACTCCGTTCCGTCGGAACTTTTCACCTGCCTATACCATTACATAAATTTTCCTTTCCTCCGCTACAGAGTGCACGACGTTAGTCAATGGGGAACAAATGATCTAACGTTGAGGTAGCGTTGAGACGTAGAGAGACGTAGACGTACAAGGTAATAGCAGTCATGCAATAGTGGACCGTAAGATATCCCAATATCCCATGATCGGTTCGTGGATATGAATTTGGACTCTTTGAAATATCCAGTGTTGTCGTGGGAACGGTGTATTCTCCCCGAGAGCGACGTCGCACTCGCCGCACTCGATCGCGAGCATTCGCGCGCAATGAAGGGGAAAGATTGTGTTTCCAGTGGAAGGATAAGGCAGCCGCGCCGCGCGACCACTTGCCGTAATTCGGGGAGAAGTTCCGTCACCGGGTAACGGAACTCCT